GCGACCGAGTGGAGTCGGGAGGAGACGAGCAGAGCCGAACACAATCGGGTCACGCCGAACAGACGAACGCACGCAGGTGCGGCAGAGCCGAYTAGACCCGAACTGAGCCGAACGCAGCCGGGCCGAGACGATTAGACGCGAACCGAGCCGGGCGCAGACGATTGGACCCGAGCAGAGCCGAGGTGAGGAGCGGTGTGAGGGAAGGCGCGTCCGGTGCCTCGGGAGCGGCGATGGCCCCGCAGCCGCCCCCCTCCCTCCCCGCCCGCTACCCGCCGGGACCAGCGATGGCCCCGCATCTCTCCCTCCCCGCCCGCTACCCGCCGGGACCAGCGGTGGCCCCGCATCTGCCCTGCTCTCTCCCCGCCTCCCTCCCTCCATCCCGGGATGGGGCTGGAGGCTGAGTCGCGGCCGTGCGACCTCACTGCTTCTCGCCCTGTCAGAGCCCCGGGACCGCCCGCGCTGCCGCATGGCCGAGAAGAAGCTGATCGTGGTGTTCGGGGCCACCGGTGAGTGCTCGGGGGGAGGCCCGGGCCGTGCCCGGCGCCGGCGGGGAGGGCGAGAGGCGGAGGCGTCGGTGATGCCCGAGCGCCCGGGAGGGTGAGGGGTGCGGACAGTGAGCGGGGGGCTCGGTTCTTGTGGCACCCGRGGGCTCCGTCCCGCGGCCCCAGCGCATCCCGGAGTCGGGGGACGCGGGGCCCTGACCGGCTGCCCGTGCAGGGGCCCAGGGGGGCAGCGTGGCCCGGGCGCTGCTGTTCGATGGGACCTTCAAGGTGCGCGCCGTGACGCGGAGCCCCAGGAAGAGGGCGGCGGAGGAGCTGAGGCGAAGGGGAGCCGAGGTGGTGAAGGCAGATCAGGACGATGAGGCATCGCTGGAGCGGGCCTTGGCCGGTGCCTATGGAGCCTTTATTATCACCGACTTCTGGGAACACTGCAGCAAGGAGAAGGAAATCGAGCAGGTACCTGCGCTGGCATTAACCGGCACCACGTGCGGAATGACCTGGGAGAGGGGATTAAGGGACAGCCCAATAGCATCAAAATGGGGAACATGGGCCAGCTTTCACATCAGGGCAGCTGTGTTAGCCCTGATGGTTTGAATGGCCAGTCCAGAAGAGCCCAGAGCCTCACAAACACCAGGTCCCGGTTCTTGCGAAGCCAGAACTTCTTCCCTGTTTCCTCACAGTTGCGTGGCACCAGGGTCTGGTGCCTTCAGGGTATTGTTAAATTTGTTGCAGAGAGCACTTCCCAGGAGTTGTTGTAGCAGGAGTGGGAACACTTGGCTCCTCAGAGCCATCCTAGGGCTGAGCCTGGTGCGCCACTGCCTGCAGATCGGTGGTTCTCTATGTTTGCCTCTTCGGGGCCAAAATCCTGCAGTGTCAGAGATCTCAAAGCAAGGGTAGTGCTCACCCCAGGAAAGATTTTACAAGATAACACAGTTGCCACACTTGGATAGCAACAAACAAAAGATATGTTAGGGCTGGTATGCTGGCCAGGCAGATTCCTTATGCTGCTGGTTGCGTGTTTGGTAGAGCAGTGAGCTCCACAGCTGGAGGGTGTGTGGTCTTTATGAAATAGGATGGGTAAGGAGAGGATTCAGCTCCACCTGGACAACTCACTGGGCTCGCTGGTGTGCTCAGCCCTGGTCCCAGCTGAGGGCTGCTGGGAGTTGGATCCTGCCCTCCTGCCCAGCACCACAAAGGGAAGGGAGTGTGTTGGAATGATGGGGACATCCTGTTCCCCTCTCCATGGCCGGTTTCACCCTTCACCCAGGGGCAGCGTCTTGCTGACCTGTCCAAGCGCCAAGGTCTACGCCATGTTGTGTTCAGTGGCCTGGAGAACGTGCACAAGCTGACGGGAGGCCAGCTGGAGGTGCTGCACTTTGATGGCAAAGGTGTGGTGGAGGAGTATTTCCAGAAAATTGGGGTTCCCACCACCATCATCCGGATGCCCTTCTACTTSGAGAACTTCCTCTCCATCTTCAAGCTGCAGAAGGCCCCGCAGGGAGACACCCTTGTCCTGGGTGAGTAGGAGCTCCTGTGCTGCAGGTCACTGTCCTGTGACTGTCCTCATCTGCTCCCACTGTGCAGGGGCTGAGAGATGGAGGGACTACCAGGGCTGTGGGCAGTAGGTCTCTACTAGCTTGACCACAGCGAGCTGCATTATAGTCTTCAGACCTGTTTGGTGGTCTGCAAGAAATCATCGAGATCCTGGGCCTGTTTGTGGTGCTGAGGGCTGTTCTGCAGATCCCAGAGAGGCTCTGCTTAGCCCAACTGCCTGCATTTGGGATRGTGGAGGTGGTGGGGCTGCAGATCCAGGCGAATCATGGTGCTGCTCTGGTATCATGGTCCCTTAGCCAAGCCCTGCTCTGGTGCCATGCCATGCTGGTGGATGCTCTCATCCCTTCCTCACCTCATGTTCAAAGGTTGGGTGCTGAAACTCCACTCTACCTCCTCAGAGCTGGGCTTCACTCCAGCTGGGATCAATCTCTCCATACAGAGTTGCCCTTGGAGGACACCCCAATGGAYGGGATGGCCGTGGAGGACCTTGGGGCTGTTGTGCTTTGCCTGCTGAAGTCCCCAGGGGAGTACATTGGCCAAGTGATAGGACTCAGCACAGGCAAGCTCACTGAGGAAGAGTATGCTGCCATTCTCTCCCAGCAGACGGGCAAGATTGTGGCAGCCAGCAAGGTATGAAGTGTCCTATGGTGTAGGTGATGTTCCTGGGGGACTTGCAGCTCGTTTTGGTAGCACTCGTGTCCAAGGTTAGCCCTGCAGGCCCTGCGTGTCACTGGAGCACAGCTTGGCACCAAAACTGCCCTGTTAACATTGTCATTGAACTCATTCATGCTCGTGGAGCACCCAGATGTGCCCTGGCAGGTCTGTGCCTGGCCCTGGGGGATAACTGAGCTGGGAYGTCTCCAGAGGAGCCAGGAATGGGCACTTACACAACAGCTCTCTGCTGGGTGCCCTTCCCTTCAGCAGGGCTTCCCCCAGGGCTTTGCTGTGTCACCATTACAACACTCCTGGCGTCTATGCTGTGTCACCATTACAGCACCCTTGGCCACTCCCTGCCCCTTCCTGATTTATTTTTAATCTCTGTTTGCATTTCAGTTGTGCCTCAGGCAGCCAATACAATGGATGAGGGGTGTGGTGGCTCCCTGTTTTGAAAACATTATTAAATGTTGAAAACATTTCATTAGAACAAATTGAAACAACAAATTGAAAACATTTCATTAGAAACAAAACCCCTCTGATGCTCTCTGCAGGTTCTGCTCTCCCAGAAGCACAGTGAACCAACCACCTTTTGGTTCAGGCAGGGAAGGAAGGTTTTGGGGTTGGGGTGCCAGGGAGCAAGCTGGATTGCCTCCTGGACCCACCAGCTTCTAGAGCCCCTCAGCCACAGCCATGGTGTGAGGACAGGCTCCCTCACAGCTGCTGCACCTGGCCCCAGGCTGGTTGGGCTGTTCCTGCCAGGCAGGGCTGCATCCCCAACCCCAGCAGAAGCACCTTGCAGAGMCCCCCTCACCAGTGACAATGCTGTGACAGGCTGCTGTCAGCATTGCCACTCACAGACTTCATCAGCATTTCCTCACAGACTGAGGGGAAGCCCCATCAGCCTCTGAAACACTGTTTYTTTCCCCAATTYTTTGGCAGATCTCCCCTGAGGAGTACGAGAAGCGGGACTTCCCCGGGGCCAAGGAGCTGGCTGCCATGTTCCGCTTCTACGCCCTAAAGCCAGACCGCAACGTGGCCCTGACCATGAAGCTCAACCCCAAGGCCCGCACCTTCCAGCAGTGGGTGGCTGACAACAAGGATGCCTTCTGAGCCTCTCCTCCCTCTTGCTCCCTGGTTTCTGCAGCAGGCAGGGGGACCTGGCTGAGGAGGCGAGGTGCCCTGAGCCAYGCTGCCTGCCCAGTAATGCCCCAGGGAGAGGCTGATCCTGCCCCAGCTGGGGAGAGCTCGGCCCACATGCTGGTCCATGTGTGTGWTCCTGCAGTGTGGTTGAGACTATTTAGGCAGCTAGAACAAGARGAAGGGCTGTAGAGCACAGGCAGAGGGGTAGCAAAAGCGCTACCTTTGCACAGTCCTCAGGGAGGTGTTGCTTTAGTCATTCTGGGTGTCTTAGGGTGGCGGGGGCTTGTTTTCCCAGGATCACCCTTTCCCAGGCAGCTTTGAACATACTACACCATGTGGTGGGCTGAAGGTGTGTAACCCTGCACCCCAAAGGCAGTGCCTTCAGGGCAGGTATTTATGGCCAGGGCTGCTGCAGGCTCTTAAGCCAACAGAAAACACAGGGATTTCTCCAGGGACCTGGTTTGTGCATAGCAGGTGAGCCAGCAGAGAGATGGACCCCTGGCTCAGTGCCACCTCAGTAAATGGGGATGGTATAGTGACTTCCTGTGAGTGTAACAAAAGTGGAGTTTGATTCCTCAAGTCCTCCAGCTCTGGGCCTGGTCTTTGGGCTCTTAGGGCCAATTTCAATCACTTTGGGCTCTTGGAGCTAATTTTAATCAGTGTCCCTAAGAGCTAAGATTAAACTCAGTTTTCTCAAGACTGTCCAAGGCTCAGTAGAAAAGCCCCTTCTGCCTCACCCCCATGTGCTTAAAGTACATGTTTAAAGTCAATCTCAGCCCCTAGCAATGCACCAGTCACCCAACCCTGTCCCATCCTTGTCCCAGTGAACTTCCTTCCTGTTAGGATGGGAGGGTAAAGGGGTGACAGACCAGGTGGGAGAGTAGACAATAAAGCCAGGCACAGCACATGTTAAATATCTTTATGAAGTCCATCTTATTTACAGGGGTACAGAATCACTTTATAGATGTTTWATCAGGAGGCAACGCGTGCTTTATTTCAGCAAATTAAGAAGGGCAAGACTACAGCATGTCCCTGTTTAACTGGTGTTTAACTGATTAGTAYGTGGGCTGATGGTACCTGCGCGGTATCACAAACACAGCAGGCTACAGTAACCATGGAATACTCACTGCAAGAGCTCAGCTGCATCTGGAAGGAGTGATCCACCTCACTTGCACTCTCACACATGTAAAACAACGATGCTTTGACCAATCCTTTAYGCTACGGGTGTTGCACTAAGGTAATAAAAGATTTTTGTCCCCAATTGGCAAAGGGCTCAGTGATYGGCTTGTACCAGTTCAGAAGCGACAGCAGTTGTGTGCTAACTTTAGTTATTTGGGGGATAAACCTGAGGCAAAGTACAGATTCCATCACTGCTCTGTGCAGGCTATCAGCAGGATAAAGCCCAGGGCTGCGAGGGAGCCAGGCCAGCTGGGCTCAGACAACACCCAGCCACAGGGAGATTCCACTTGGAGCTGTGCASGGCAGCAGGGCTGTGGTGAAGACAACGTTAGACCTCCCTGACCCACCCAGTCTCCTGGAGAGTTCACCAAGCACACCTGGCATTCCAAAGGGCACCTGAGTGAGCAGCTGGTGGGCTTGGGCTCCATACAGCAAACTGCTGCTCTGTGCTGCAATGTTTATTGCACACTTCCTCTGGTTTGGATGCTAAATAATACTTTTAACTTTTACCAAATAAGCTTCCAGCAGCAGTAGGATTGTGGAGCAGCCTCCAGAGAGCGACACTTTTATGCAAAGCTGGCTCTTTCCTTCTTTGCCAGTTCCTAGGACAGTGGGTGGGGTTTGTATCATGATGAGYGTTGGTGCCTTAGTGGTCTGTGGCATCTCCAGCTGGGATTCTTGCTGTGCTGCTGACTGACATCCTGTGTTCTGCAGAGCCTGCTGCCAGAAAGGTTCACCCCCAACTGCACGGATGACCTGCTGCTGCTGGCTCCTAGTTCCCAGTAGAACGCTTTCCTGCAGTTGAAATGAGAGGAAGGTTAAGATTTCCTGGCTGTATCAGCACACAGSCAGCCCACTTTGGGAGCACCTCCCCTCCTGCTCTGCCATCACACTCTCACCCTCACAGCACAGCCAAGTCCGAAGCCTACAAAGATGCAAAGCTGAGCCCCTGGAATCCAAGACTTCAYGTCTGCCATAGATGATTCCAAGTCTCGGTGCTCCCTCGCAACAGGTCMACACTGGCTGAAGGCACCTCAGTTACCCTGCAGTGGTGCATGGTGAGCTTTGCTGTGCTCTGTGACAAAGGCTGGCTCCTCCCTGCTGCTCTAAGCCTGTGGCAGRGGTGACTCCAGCCCAAGCATGCTGGCACCCATGGCTCTGAAGCCCATCTGCTGGGCAGAAGCYGGTCCCAGTGGGACCAGCTCACAGGAACACCCTCAGTGCTTGGCATCAGGCACAGCTACAGGAGCAGAGCTGCCTGGGAGGCCAGCCACCTCCCCGAGGGTGCACCCAGCATCTGCGATGCCTTTTGCTGCAGCAACAATGCAGTTTAATCCCTRGCTTGTTGCTCCAGGTCTCAGGGGACAACTAGGGCTGTGCACACCAGCAGCTGGAAGGCCTGAGGCTAAGTGAGAAGCAAGGCTGTGCTATTGTGCTTCCACCTCCCAAGAAGTGCTCAGTGTGGGGGAAAGACGACAGTGAAACACAAGAGACCTCCTACCTCGGATTGGGTGTCAGGAGGTAAACATTTTCTTAAGTTTGGAAAGGAATCCCTCCTTGTTCTCCTGAGCCTCAGGCCTATCCCCGCCTGCGTCAGCGCTAGCCGTGGCTCTGCCACCTGGACACAAACAGCAAAGGTCCGCAGTCAGAGACATCTCTCACCAGGACCAGAGGGGTGTTTAGACAGGGAATGGCTAAGAGAAGGCAGCTGTTTGTGCTGCACCCTCATGCCCAGGGCTGCCTCTGGCAGTGAGCCACAAGACTGGACCTCTTGGAAGCACTGGAAAGCCTGGAGCCCTGAAGTAGAAAAGCCAACCATGAGCTCAGGTACTGAGCTGTTCCCTTCCCCTCTCCCCAGCCCTCCAACTGCTGAGGGAATCCTTGTGCTGCACAATTAAGTCAGGGATCCCACAGGCTTTGGAAACAAGTACTTGAAATTGAGTGGCACTAAAAACAAATTGGTGAACTTGATCACAGCCAGCAGGASTTTACAGGGTTAAAAAATCTCTACTGGTGGTCCCTGGAACAAGTTCTTCCTGTTTCAAGGTTGTCCTTGCAAAGCAGTGCAAAACTACACCAGGAGCCTGATCTGTGTCATTTGCAAGCAATGCTCAGACAGCATCAAGCAGAAAATGAACTCGTGCAGAACAAAAAAGGCTACAAGGATTTCAGTACAAGAGTCCAGATAAGGAATGTTAAAATTGTCCTGAATGAACAGGTCCTGAAAAGTTTTTTGTCACTCCAGAAGTGGCTACAGCGAGAACAAAGGAGACCTAAAAGTTAATCTGCTTTTTTCTACAGTAAAACCATCAATAACAAGATCCCAAACTCCCCCTCAAGCTTCCTTTGTGCACTGAGAGCAGGAGTCTGGCTCTCCCCATGCTCSCAGGGCTGAGTGCGGGCTCAGACTGATGCAATGGAATGAAATCCCGAGGCAGGACACGCCCCCCTCAGCATAGCCTGTCTCTACACTGCAACCTACTGGCGCTGTTTTAATCCACCTTGCTGCTTCATCATGGTAAAACTGGCAGGTTTGCTTTTAAAAAAAATAGTTTGAAGAGTGGGTTGGTTTTTTCTCTTTGGCATATAAATGCTTTTAAGAAGCTGGAATGGAAGTTCAGTGTTCAGAGCTCTCATCCCTTCCCCTAARGCTGACTGTAACATAATTTCTGTGTTAGGAAAGCACTGTAAAAAAGAACATTAGGAAGAATTTGGCAGATGCTACCTTCTAATATCCTGCACTTCAGCCTCCATTTCTTCACACGTGGGCATGCAGTAGAGCAGACCTGAGTCTCTGAGATCATTCAGCAGCTCTAAAAGGCTCTCACCTTTGCTTAGTGGCAAATAAATACCCTGTTTGGTTTCAAATCAAAACCAAAATCCAGYGGGCTTTAAGAAGTTATTGTTGCAATTAAGCAAAGAAAAAACTTTGAATAGCAAGAGGCAAAACTCCTTCCTTACTCTTTTACCATGTGTTGTGCCTTTAGCTGCTGCCTCTGCCAGGGTACCTCACCCCTGACACTTAAAACRCAATTGCTGAATCTCAATTTTCCATCTGGAGCTGGAGAGCAGCTTCACAAAGCTCCCAGCTGCCTTCCCTCCTCCCTCACGCTGRAAGCTGTCCACTGACCAGAGCTGACACTCAGCACCAATGAACAATCCTACTCCGGGTTCCCCACATGCACAGAGCTCAGCCTGACTGCAGAAACCCCCACCAGCATTCCAGGAGAAACAACCTGGCTTCGCTCAGGAGTGCAGTGGGTTGGGATCACACAGGAAACTGGCCTGAAGCACATTCACTTTCCYGCCTCTGCTACCAAGGTAAGTCCTGGCACAGGGGAAGCAGGGAGCAGGAGGCATTCATCAGCACAGCATGTACCTGCAGTAGCTCAGTGCCTCCTCTCTGTTCCTGCACAGATTTGCCCAGTAAGTACTGGAACTGAGCTTCCTGCAAAGTGGCTGCCTCCCTGCTTCCTGCTACAGCCTGTTTACCATCACACTGCAACTATTTCCACAGCTGCCACGCTGTCTCACAGTGGCCCTGGCTCATCTYCCTCCCCAGGAATGCTCAGGAAGTGCTCCCCAGGGAAGGAGCAGGAATTCCCTGCACTCACCTGACGCTGTGTTGGTGACCCCGTTCACGGTGCCGTCCACGTCGGCCTCGTCCTCGGCGTAGCTCATCATTAAGGCTCGCTGGCGATCCGTCAGCCTCCTGTGGCACCAGGACATGGGGGGTTAGGGATGGCCTGGGRACAAGGGTCCCACAGCCCTCCCAAACTTCCCCCTGCAGCACCCATGAGAGCTCGGGACTGGAGTACAAGGTGAACACACCTGGAATACACCAGAAATCTCTACAGTGYTCTTAAAGTGAGCCATCTGTAAGGAATGATGTATGAAGAATTCTCAGTGGAAGAGGAGAGACAACCCACTGAATTTCACCTCACAGAATTTTCACAACTTCTAAACATTTTTTGCAAAAAGTTGTTAAGATTTCACAGGAACTTGTTTTAGGTATACTTACTGAGGAACTTTTATCTTTATGTGGATGTAGTGGTCTCCATAGCCGTAACTGTTGACCTTGGGAATGCCTTTCCCACTCATTCGAATCCTCTGGTCTGGCTGAACACCAGGGGGTATCTATAAACACACAGGTGTCACATTTATTACTCGAATTTGTGCTCGAATTCATGCATTTATATAATAATTATATTGCAAAAATTACACCATAAAGACCATCCACTTCTCCAACAAGATTCAAAGTAGGRTGGGAGAGCTCTGGTATGCTCATACATTGGGACTCATCCCAAAGCTAAGCCAGTGATGAAAGGCTTTTGAAGGAGTAAGTAAAGAACCTGACACAGCCTGTAGCCCTCAGATGGGATTTGTCCAGCAATCCCTTTCTTCCCCTGTCCGTACACAGCAACAGGAAAGGAGCAGTGACCAGGCAGGTCACAAACTACCCAAGGCTCAATCCTGAAGGAGTCTGAAATGCAATAGTGGCACACAGGGGAGATTTTCCCCACCTTTGTAGCAAAGGAGAAGCCTCTGCTGTGCCTCACTGATTCATGCCCAGTATGCTGGTACTCACTGTGATATTGATTGTCTCGTACAAGCCTTGACACCGGGCTGTGCCTCCCAGCACAGCCTGAGCTATTGAGATTGGAAGATCCGAGTGGATATCAGCTCCATTTCGTCGGAACACAGAGCTCTTCTGAACCTAAAAAGGCAGGAAAATTCCAAAGAGCAGTGAGCACACCATGTTCTCCTGGTAAACTGCTCCCACAGGTCTCAGGAAAAAAATATACTATTCCCAAACTGCATGGCTAAGAACTGTGAGTTAATATKTGGTCTTCTAGTGAAGCACAGATCTTGACATAACCTAATTAGCCAAAGATTTGTGAGGATCCCTGCTTCCTGCCTCAGGAACTCCCTCCCCTAATCCTGCTGTTAGCTTACCCATGTCAATATGGCTCTGTGGAAACACTGCCTTGTCCAGCACCCTGAACAGGAGRAAGCCAGAAGGGAACAGGAAAGGAAGAACCTTCACAGTGGCTTCACAAAGTGGAGGAGAATTAAATCCTCCTGCACCACAAAAAAGCTGCTAAAAATATCTTCTCCTCAACAGATGTGTGTGGCAGGATTCTGACAGGAGAAAAGGCCCAGCTGCAGCACAGGTGCAAAGCAGCCCTGAAGGTGGAACTGCAGAAGGATGCTTCCCCAGGCAGCCTCCTTCGCCAGGCAGCCTCCTGCAGGCAACTCCCACAGCTCTCCTCAGCACTCCCACCCCCACCAGCAGGCAGCTCCCTCACATTTCCAAGTCAAAAACTCAAGGCACGAAGAACTGACTCTGCATTTTGATTCACACGACCCTAAAGGCCCGGTCCTGGAACAAGCAGCAATTCTTCACGAACAAATTCAAAGTTACCCCCCTTGCTACAATGCAGATCTCCTGATGTCCCAGAAAGTTCACATGGATCATGTTACCTCAGCTGTTCCAAAGGATCACTGGCTCTTCCTCCTCTGCCCATTCTGCAGTCCTTCCCCAGRCAGTTGAACAGGAACAACCAACTTAAATAATAAACCAGCTTAGGATACATACCCTGAACGTAATGAAAATTTCTTTCTTCCCCACAGGCATTCGAACTGTCTGCCCGTCCTCAACACCTGCAATGAGAACAGGAGGGAATGKGGTCTTGGGTTATAATCCATGTGTGACATGGGACACCCATAACTCTTGCCAACCCCAAAAGCTGGCCACCACAGCCCAAAGGAAGAGGGGTCAGCACACRTTTACACCTCTGATCCCCATGCCCTGAAGAGGCTTGTTACTTTGGTCTCTACAGAACTGTTTACAGAAACACATTGGACTAAGGAACACAGCAGCATCCACAAGCTGCAAGATTCAGGGTGGTTTCAAAGAAGCAAGACTTAGCCCCACCCCTGAATCCTCTCTGGTGAGAAAGGTCATCTGCACACCCCACTGAGCGAAGTCAAGGCTTTTAGCATTCCCACCATCTCTCAAGACTTTATCAAGGACAAATGAAAGACTCATAGCAACAAAACSTGTGGAGATTCACTCTTCAAAACCTGCCTAGGAGGACCCAGGCAAGAACCAAAGCTCAGGAAGGGCAAAGCAATCATTAATATCCATGGCCAGAAGGTCCACCTCATCAGCAGCCCATTCCATTGCCAACTGCTCAAGCTGCTTTGCTTTGAAGACCATTTCTCTGCAGCAAAACTTCTTATGCTGCTCTCCCATTTGTACTTGGCAGTGGCAGTAAATAACTACAGCTCTGTAGTTAGAGAGAGCAGCACACAAGCACAGCACTGACCAGCTGGCACAGGAACCATCACTGTCTTCTTCTGCTTTGTCTGCCCCGTGCCCCGGCACACGACACAGGGCGTGGTGATGATGGAGCCGCGGCCGCCGCAGCGCCGGCACGTGGAGCGCATCACGAAGGGGCCTGTGTTGATCGTCTCCTGGGCAGGAACAAACACACATTGGGCAAATTATGARTACTGAGATGGCTCTTTTCACACAGCACATTTGAGCTCCAATCACATACACATCCTGCCAGAATAGCGATATTCTTCATCAAGGGCTGGAGCAAAAAGCTGACTCTGAAATCCAATTGCCAYTGCATTCTGATTTCCACTGACCACCACTATTACAAGTGTCACGTGGTGAGGGGAAGGGACACGCACCACTCTCCATTTCTAGCCTTTAATGCACAAGAGGGAACAAAGCTCCTTACAGTGCTACAAATGTCTGTGTTCTGATGAATCCAAGGACAATCCACTTACATAAATTACTGCCAGTGTCCAGAAAAATGTTAAGGTGACTAAGCTCTGGACAGAACTGTGACAGCCACCCACCAGACTGAAACGCACAAGCAATCAGATACACGGAAAACCAAAGCCTGCAGCTCCAACACTGCCTGCATCTTATTTTATAATTACCCTTGGGTTATCATCACTGTCCTCCACCCCTCAAATCAAAAGATCCCCGTTTATTGCCGAAGGAATTTCAGAGCTGTTACATGATATGCATATGGTTTGTGAGATGTGCAGTAGCAGAAGATCCAGCCTGCAGGTCTGTGCTTTCAGCCAGGCACAGCACTTCTTTAACATGAAGAAAATCTTCCTAGTGCCTATTAGCATCAAGCTGACATTAACTCGGCTTTACCCGAGATAAGCTGATGAGTGTGGTGAGAATTTTTCACCRTGAAATGAAGTGACTCTCCTCAAGAAGGGAAAGAACAACAGAACTGGTGTCCTGCTAAGCACTTACCATGCCCGTGCCATTGCAGTAGTGACARCGCTGAGCTTTGGTGCCAGGTTCATGTCCTTTGCCATTGCAGCGCTCACAGGAGTCCTGGATGTTCACCACAATCTCCTTGTTAACACCTTTTGCAGCTTGGGTGAACGTCAGTTCCATGATGTACTGCACAGGAAACAYGGATATGGACCCATGACTTAGGTGTGACAGGGTCTTAAGAAAACTGAGAAGGGCTTAGGGTGAACACCAAAAATGCTTAAAATAGAAGTCACCAGAAAAGATGAATGCTCAGAAGAGGAAATTCTCCTTGTAAGAAAAAGGTCACTTTTACTAGAGCCAGAAGTACCAAACACCAAACATTTCTAAAGGCAGCACACGACCCGACAACACTAAAAGGAGCATTTAGCTGCCACATAAAGAACCAGATAGATTTTATTTCACAGTGGACTCCACTGCAAAGTGAAGCTAATTAAGCTGCAAAATTATGCCAATTAAACAGCCAAACCTGTTGCTGGAAGGCTTGGTTTATACTTACAAGGTATTTTGTGGGTTTTAGCATTACAGATCAAAGCAGGCATATGTAAAWCAACCTGCAGCAGAAAAGAGGCCTCTACAGCGATGGAACTGCTTGGCAGCACTGAGTGGTGTCAGTAAACACCACCTCAAGCCCAGAAAAAATTTCTTGCCTGAAGGTGTGGGGTGTGTTTCTGCATAGCCTAGCAAAACTACGAGACTCTCCCCCCTGCCACGGGATGCTCACACACAGACATTCACAGAAATAACTCCTTGCTGAAGCTCTCGCTCCCAGAGCACTCTGCAACAGAAGCTGGGGAAGAAGACTGGGCTGAGTTTTCCATTCCATTCTTAATTAAAGGCAGCTCCTACCTCCTGTGGCTGGTCAAAGACACTCTGAAAATCTCCAAAAGGGGATCCTGAGAACTCCCCGAAGATCTTCCTGAAGAGCTCCTCGGGATCGATGGAGGGGCCGCTGCTCCAGTACTGCCGCCCTGCGCCAGCCCCGGCCCCGGCCGCGCCGGCCTCGAAGCTCGCCGTGCCATAGGCATCGTACTGCTTCCTCTTCACCTCGTCACTCAGCACCTGGGGTGCAAGGAACGGGGCAATCAGGGGATTGGAGGATCCAGGAGAATCCCTGGCTCTGGTTTCAGACCTTCCTGCCATCAAGAGGGCTCGCCCAGCTCTCAGCACCACTGGAGCTACGGGCAAACTGCTTCTCCCMTGGTGCCTCTCAGCTCAAGAAGGAAAATTACAAGATCTTACTAAATTATAAAAAGCAAGAATAACTTATATTAAGCAGTTGATCATTATTCTATCAGCTGAAGAGCGCTGAGGTCAAAAAACATGGCTGGGGAAACAAAGTGAAGGTCCCTCTGTCTCAAACACGTCTTGATAGRTTTTTTTATTTGATTGTTTAAACTGACAATCATTCCATGGAATTGACATCCATGCCAGTCATTGCTGAGAAAGAGCCCAAAGCAGCTAAATCAGATACTTGGATCAAGTAATTTCTTYGGACTAAGGTGCTCCAGCCTGAAGTGCATCAAAAGCCAGCCATGGTTTTACAGGAAATGTTTCCCCTTATCTACCCTCCACTCTTTCCTTTTTCCCACCACAGTAAAATCCTGCTGTTACCTCATAGGCTTCTGCCAGCTGAGAGAACTTCTCCTTCGCTTTGGGGTCGTCTTTGTTTGTGTCAGGGTGGTATTTCTTTGCCAGCTAAGCAACAAAAAACAACTATTAGAGACAGACAGGAGTTATTTACTTTAGCCTATCTCACACGCCAGGAAAACTCCATCAGGCAGGGTATGGCATTTACTAGATGGATTTCAGGGAAYTAAAGCCCTTCATTTTCCCTTATCAACCCAAAACAAGGAACTACAGGAGCTTTTCCCAGTCTTCTCAGYTATCCCAGATCCTTCTGGAAAGAGACACGTGCTGACAGCACAGACAGACCAGGTTTGGAATAGATCCCCAAGGCCATATGCCGAGCTCTCCCACTGCTAGCTCCTCTTTTCTCCAGGCGGTCCAAACACGGGGACCTCAAAGGGGCTCTTGTTCCCTGCCACACCGAAGGGGCAGCAGGCAGCCCTGGCTCCTCTCCCCGCGCGGGGGTCCGCAGGCCCGGCCGCTCCGGACGCACCTGGTAATAGGCCTTCTTGATCTCCTTCTGCGTGGCGTTGCGGGGCACCCCCAGCACTTGGTAATAGTCCTCCTTAGCGCGGGCCGCGCTGCTGTGAAAGGCGGCGGCGGCGGCAGCGGCAGCGTGTTTCGTCCCTGCGGGGGAGGAGGGAGAGGGGCCGCCGTGAGGGCCGGGCCGAGCGGAGGAAGGGACACGACCGGGGGAAAAGACCCGCGCACCGCCGGCCCGGCCCACCCGGCCCCGGCGCGCTCACCCGCAGCGCAGAGCCCGGCACGGAGCAGCAGGAGGCGGCGCGGGGCGCGGGCMGRCGGGGTGCGGAGCCCGCGGAGCAGCAGCAGCAGCGGCGGCCGCGCGTTCCCCGCCCCGCGCCCCGCAGCCACCCCGACCCAGCGAGACGCGCTCCCGGCCGCCATCTTGGCCCGCGCGCGGCGCTGCGCCTGCGTACCCCCGCGGCGGGGACGGGCCGCGCATGCGCACAGAGCCGCGGCTGTGGCTGCGCCATGATCACACATGCGCGGGGCTCGGCAAGGCCGGCGGGGACCGAGCGTGAGGGGAAACGGAGCCGCCGCCAGTCCTGGGGGGACCGGGCGGGGACAGTCGGGTGCAGTCCTCTGTGACACCCTCGTGCAGCGGAGCTGGGCAGCCGGGGCTGGAAACCCTGCCTTCTGCTCTCCGCCATCTGCGCCTTTCCAGGGCTGCTCTGCTTCTCCTTTTSCAGGTGAAATATCACATAGATGTGCCACAAAGTCTCTGAAACCACAGCGACTGCACTGCCACAGCCCCCACATTCACACAGCACCCGCCCTGGCACAGCAGCCACCCTGACACAGCGCCCACACCGAGGCTGCAGCTTTTCTCCGGAGTGGAGGAGGATAATTCGTGCCAAGCGTGTCTCTCTCCCGCCCTCGTCCCGGGGCTGGCGCCTGCGAGCGCTCCTCAGCAGAGGTTGGGCCCTGCGGCGTGTGGGAGGCTCAGCGGGGCTGATCGGCGGCAGAGACGTGCCAGCTCCAGCTCCTGCCGGCTCCTGCTGGCACATCCCACTGGCACATCCCACTGGCACATCCCACTGGCACATCCCACTGGCACATCCCACTGGCACAGCCCGGGTGAGAGCAGGGCAGGAGGCCTGGCCTCCACCGGCGTGGGTGTCATCACAGCCGGGCCCACAGGACTCAGTGTGCTCAGATCCAGCGCACTCTCCTCCTCCCTTGCCCCGCAGTCGTGAGCACACAAAGGTCTCTGTTCACCGCCGGCTGCGAGGCGGTGGAGGGGACGAGCGCACTGAGCTCACGGGAATGGAAACCTCCCTGTCCTCGTCCTCCTTGCACAGAGCCCTGCCTTGTGTGGCAGGAGAGCTGGGTGACAGCAGCAGGCCACAGCACGGGGTGCCCGTGGGGCTGGTGACCCCGAACATCCAAGGGAGGCAGGGAAGGGGCTGAGACCCCCGGGATTCCCGAGACCTGAGGAGGGTCAATCCCGGGGTGGCTCCGACGCCGGAGTTGGAGGCTCTGACGGGGTCCGAGGAGCCGGGGTCGGGGGCTCTGTGCCCCGCTCACGGTGACAGCGGGGACACGGAACACGCGTGGGGCGCGGGGTCCAGCGGGGCGGCTCCAGGGCCGGGCTAAGGGAAGGGCGGGGCCCGGGCTGGGCGGAGCTGCCGGGCCGGGCTGGGCACGGCTCGGTGCGGTACAACCGGAGCGCCATGAACCGCTTCAAGGCGTCCAAGTTCCGGCACACCGAGGCCCGGCTGCCCCGCAGGGAGGTGAGCGCCGCGGGACCCGCCGGTACCGGGGGATCGCGGGGGCGGCGGGGCCGGGACTGCCRGCGGGCAGGGACAGGGACAGGCACGGGGACCGGGCAGGACCGGCCCCGCCCCGCGGCACCGGCAGGGCGCGGCTCCGGCCCCGCAGCTGCGGCATCGCCGGTGTGGCGGGGCCGTGTCCAGGTGCCCCGGCCGCGGTGCGGGTGCATCGCCCGGTGTACCTWCCTTGGCACCCGCTGCTTCCCATCCCGGGGTCCGCGGAGGATCCTGGCCACGGGGCGCTCCGCAGGTGGGGCTGCTGGGGAATCCCAGCCTTTTCCCGGGGCGGTGCAGCCCCTCCGGCCGGGAGCTGCCGGCGTGGGGTACCCGTCCTGTGGTGGCTGCTCCCCTCCTGCCGCKGGGCACGGCTGGCACAGGCGGTGCATCCCCGTCTCCTGCTCCCCGCCGCCGTTCTCACCCTTGTTCAGCCCTCCCAGGCTGGATTGGGCCAGTCAGGAAACAGTGCACCGAGTGCGAAATGCTGGGCCCTGCTCCTGCCACCCCGCTTCTGCCATCCTGCTCCTGCCAACCCGCTTCCGCAGGCACGGAGGAAGTGCTGGGCCCCACGGGACGGTGCTGAGCTCCATGAGCCTGACCATGGGCTCTGGAACTCGGCACCACTGAGACCAGGGAGCTCTGGGGGTCTCACTGGGCAGCATGGAGCCATGTGCTGCCCAGCTCTGGCCTCTGCTCCATGAATAACCAGCCCCAATCATGCCAAGCATCATGATCCAYCCTGGCACGGTGTTGGCAGGGGGTAGCCCTGCCCTGCTCTCTACCAATCCACAGCGCTGGGCCAGGGCACTCTCTCAGGTCCTGTTCCTGCAGATTTGGCAGGGCATGGGCAGAGATGCAGGGTCAAGGCTGGATGAGTCACATCAGGGAATGTTATCAGGACACACAGATATTCTGGGGGCTCCCTGAGCTGTGCACCCTTCACCCCAGCATCTCCTCAGCAGTGTGGCCCTGAGCAAGGCTGCTGCTGCTCGCAGCCCTTGGGTGTGCACACACTCCTTCCCTGTAACTTCCCAGCCAAGTTGTCCTTGCACCAGGCTGGCCTGTGCTCACATGCCTCTGCAAACCCAGCAAGCACCCAAAACATCCTCCTGAACTTCAACTGTAGGAGGGGACACGGTGGCCACCATCCCCATGGTGTGTCTGCAGAGCAGGTGTCAGGTCACCCAAATCTCAGCTGGGTGAATGTTTGGCTGTGAATCCCGGGGTTCAGATGAGTCACTGGCAGCGGGGAGCATGCATGCCTGTGGGGTGTGGGTGCTGGGATACCTGGCTGTGCAGGACATGGCATCCTCCTGGCAGGGATGTCCCTGTCACCACTGCCTTGGTGGTGGTTCCATGGCCAGGGAGCTCYGAGGGGCAGTGTGTTCTTTCTCCGGTGTGCAGGGAGGGATCTGCTGTGCAAGGTGGCTTTTCCAAAAGGCTTTGCCCGTCCAGGAATGAAACGTATCCTTGGAAGTGAGGCCACGCAGTCCCTGTAAGGCGGGAGGTGGAGATGGAAGTCTCGTCACCAAAGCCATCTCRGGTGTCACAGCGGGAAGCTCTGTTCTGTCCCCAGCCGAGCGCCTGTTTATGGAGGCACAGGCAGACACCCGACCTGGCCGGATCAGGAAGTGCAGTGTCCACATCAGGGATCACATCTGAGTCTTCTCCTCCAGCAGCATCTGYGAGGCTCTGCTGGCAGATACCCCTTGAGAGCTCACAGTTTGTTCCAGGGATGCAGCCAGGATGGTTCCATGTGCTTTCCCGGCTGTGCTGGCATGCTTCTGGAAGGATCACTTCCTTGAGGTTCTTGCCTATGTGCAGGGAAATTGTGGGGTCAGGATGGACAAGCTCTGTGACACCTCACTGCAGGGGTCCTGTGTGGTACCCCCAAAGCTAGGGGCCAGATGTGACTCTGGTGTCCCTCTCACTGAGGGCCTAGTGCAGGGTAATGGGATGCAGAGAGTGGGACCCTTTTTCCTGGTCATGCTTCAGGCCTGTTCCCCATCCCATTGCAGCCTCCTGCCCACCTTTCAGGTGCAGAGACAGGAGCCTGCCTTTGGAAGAAGAAGAGTTAACAAGTCTGCACTGAGCTGTGAGGGGAGGAAATGCTGCAGGAACCACTGCTCCCTGTCAGGCCTCAAACGGAAGTTGTGCAAGGAGAGGAAACCTGGGGCTCGAGGTTTCCCTTCCCTTTGAGGGTGGCTGTGCAGTTTGTGGGGTGTCCATTGCTCTGGACACCTGCTGCAGCTCCAGGGGCTGCCGTGGGTGGTGCCAGCCATGAAACACCTGCCATTGCCACTGTCAAGGATTGGACTTGGCCCTGGGTGTGCCAGGAGGCTCCTGCCCCTGATGGCCACTTGAGGTGATGTGTCTGTGCCACCCAGAGCRGATCCGGCTGATGGAGGCTGCCCCAGTGCCCCACTGGTGGCAATGCTTGGCCCTGGGAAACACTGCAGAGCAAGATTTTGGGTTTGGAGCTGCAATGCAGTTCCTTGGCTGTGTGTCCATGTGGGAAGTGTGCTGCTGGAGGTGTTTATTGGCCTCAGTCAGCCACAGCCTGACCCTGTGGCACTTCACAGCCCAAGTGCTTTTGTCCCATCCAGATTCCCTGACATCAGTTTATTGCAAGGTCCTCTGAGCACTTCCCTTGGTGGGACAGCCCAGGGATGGGACAGTTTGGGGGAGAGGCAGCAATGGGAGCTGGGGTGCTCTGTGTCCCACTCTTCAGCTCCGCTGAGGCGCTGTGCTTTATGCTGGGAGTGTGAGCTGCCACACTGCCCTGGGACACCCCAGAGGACAGGATAATCCTGTTGGTATTGGCAGTCCCCAGGTCCCCATTGGTGTGGGAGCCCCTCTGGGGTTCCAGCCAGGTCTCTGGCCATGCTGTGTCAATGCTCTGTTGTGTCCCCTCCAGCTGTGCCTTGGGCCCTGCCATGACTAGGCAGTCCCTGACATGGGTTTTTCCTCTCCATCRCAGGCCTGGATCGGGGGTATCCGAGCGGGCTCTGTCACATCCCATGGGAACCATGTGAAGGCCAGCTGCCACTGGATCGCCTTCAACGCCGAGGCAGCAGGTGAGGCACAAGGGCCCCCAGCACGGCTTGGGGAGTGGGATGGATTTATCCCAGTTGTCCCTGTGGGGCTGGGTGGTGGGTCAGCCCCCAGGCCCCAGAGGTATGAGGGTGAGTGGAGGAGGCTTTCCCTGAGATCCTCCAAAAGTGTTGACAGTCCCACAGCTCTTGGCTTGCATTGTAAAGCTGGGTGTTCCTGGCTGTGTCCTATCTGGGGGAATTCCTGGAGTATCCCATGGGTGATGGCCAGGCTGGTGGGCAGCTGGTGACCTGCTCTTGTGCCCTCTCCTGCAGGTGTGCTGGGCATTGTGCCAGTGGAGTGCGAGGATGGGGGCAAGAGGACCATATCTCAGCTCTGCTGCCACTCAGGTGCGTGCCAGTTGCCACCTCCCACCTCCACAGGATGTTTGTCCCTACGTGGGCTATGTGGGGGCTCAGGTGCTGAATCCAAGCCCAAGTGGGCTGTCTGYCAGGCTAGAGCCACGGGGAGCTGCCAGGGACCATCACCTGTGGACAGGGTGACACCAGGAGGGGCTGTGCCAGGCTGGAATCA